TATACTAAGACAAAAAGGCTGCTTATTGCTTCCTGGATTTTAATGGTATCTCAAACGAGATCAATTGGCAATAAATATAACGTACAACAACGTTTATTTGTTTTAAAAAGCTCTTAAAAGTACACTACTCATTAGGTGTTGATTTCCCCACAACAGTACAGTTAAGCTTTTCTTTTTTAATTTTAAATGAACTGAAGAATGATTTAAATTAGCTATTATTATGATATCTAATTAATTATCCTGTTCATAAACTGCTTTACTTCACATCCCTTTCTTCATCAACTGAATCGAGTAGAATGTGGTTGAGGTAAACATTTAGTGTAGATGCGATTTAGAAGAATATATTCTGTCCCAGACTTTAAATCCAATGCATTGCATCACAGATTTAATAAAAATCATGTGAATTACTATAGTCATGATGAAAAATTATACGGTGTAAAAAAAGTATACACTTTCTGAAAGTTTTCACATCCTCAGCATTATTTATTGATTATGAAAGCAACAGCGTTTTATGGGAGAGGACAAACCAGCTTCCAGCTGAAGAGGAAATTAGGAAAAGACGTTGGAAGTGGATCGGACATATATTAAGAAAATCACCAATGTGCATTACAAGGCAATCCCTAACTTGGAATCCTGAAGGGAAGTGGAAAAGAGAAAGGCCAAAGAACACATTACGCCGGGAAATAGAAGCAGATACGAAAAAGATGAATAACAAATGGAACGAACTGGAAAGGATTGCTCAGGACAGGGTTGGATGGAGGGTGCTGGTGAGCGGCCTGTGCTCCTTGAAGAGGGGTAACAGGCGTAAGTAAGTAAGTAATAAAATTTCGATGACTTTTCATTGAACCGACCGTAAAACGTGTACCTGGCTATACACAATAGAAACTCATATAATATAATATTCAAGGTTGAGATCATCCACAGTGTTCTCACTATTCTGCGTCTGACTTGTCCCTATCTATATCAACCAGCTTTCTGTCTATTTTATTGATGAGTACTGAATATTTAGTTATGGCTTTCATCAAACATTTCATTTCAGTAGACTGAAATTTTTGCCAGTTGTCTTCTGTGAATAATTTAATGCAATACAGTTGAAATATCTGATGAAAATCACAAACAGTAAACGAGATAGCTTTAAATGAATTGTTTAAATTAAATCACAATAAACGGCACCTACCTACCACATGAATGGAGAAATGGATGAAGTCATTGAGTACCTCACAACAATTCAGTTTTCAAAACATTATGAGTTACCTCAGTCAATACTACACTAGCCTCATTTTAAATCAGAAACACTATAGTAACCGTTTCTTTATTCATTTAATAAGCTTATTCATGCGATAGATATTTCAGATGAATGATCAATAAAACCCCTCCATGCGATCATCCTAATTCAAATGAAATTAAGTTTCATAGTAATAGATAAGCGTATTTATTTGACTTTGCAGGATAAAATTATGTCAAAATAATATGAGTTGCTCAGTTCTTACTTAATCTTTGTTGTACAACATAAACTTCAGTAGTTTGTTTTTACTTGTATGCTTGTTTGATTTTTTAGCTCCCCCATCTCCCCCCTCGATTACTTGTTAAGTCAAAATTTTTTATCAAAATAGTTAACGCATAAAATTGTTTTTTGTTTTGATAAATTCCGTAAACAATGACAGTGAGAAATACTTTCACTTATTATTATTATTATTATTATTATTATTATTATTATTAGTAGTAGTAGTAGTAGTAATAGTGGTAGTAGTAGTTGTAGTAGTAGTGGTAGTAGTAGTGGTAGTAGTAGTGGTAGTAGTATTTAGTAGTAGTAGTAGTAGTGGTAGTAGTAGTAGTAGTTAGTAGTAATAGTAGTTAGTAGTAGTATCAGTACTATGATAATATTAATTGAAAAGTGTGATAATTAAATATTTAATCAAGCTGAAATGAGAAGAAAAACAAAAAAGAGTTTTAATTACATAAAAAAAGTATCAGGTCAAATTTTATAGTTTACATTATCTTAGTTAAACAATCATTAAATTTTGGGAAGCATTACATAGTTGTTTCGTGATGTACATTATGAAATAACAATCTTCTCAAACTCATCTATAAGAATAATAACTATATGTTCATTAGTACCTATTTTATCTGGAGTTGTACTGAGAATCTGTGACAGATGAAGTTTATCGATATCGTATGTATTGCAATCATCAACCAATGACATCAAAAAATAGTTACACAGTATTATGGATTGATTAAGATTAGAAGTGTAAAACTACTTGATAGCGAATCAATGATCGAAAAACTAAGTTCTCATCTTTAGGTCTAAAAACTCGAGGACGGAACTATGATAGAGTCGTGAATGCGTACTACTGGACGCTCCATCCAATGGTTGTTTAACTAAGAATAATTTGTGATGTAAACTATAGAATTCAACAATCTCTATGAGCCCCATATTCGTAATATGTTGAAATTATAAAAATAAGTTTGGAAAATTGTTTTTACATTTTTCATACTTTTTTAGTTTCAATGAACAAATTTGTTAACCAAATCATGATTTATTGACAAGTTTTAGGACTCAAGTAAATATAAAAGTCTGACTTTCGTCATTTCCCTTTACACGAGTGGGCTATTTGTCAAGTAAATTCATTTCACATATTTTTTATAATCTTATCATAGATCTGACTTTAAAAATAACATTTTTTCAGAGATGACCTTATTGACTCATTATACCCGAAGTTTGTGCTGATGATGTTGTTCAGAAGGATGATGAAAGCTCCACGACCAAACCATACAGTTCAGAGAACAAAACTCCATCAAAACTCATTATACAAAGATTAAACAACTTTATTTATTGAGGGTGCTGAGGAAGTTCGTTTGAATGTCTTGAAAAGTAGAACAAGAATGTTTGGGATTTGTTTGTCCAGATAAAATTAGCTTCAAGAGCATTACGTATCAACACCTAAGATGACCATCGGTATTCAGGCATTTGATCTTGTCGACAATATTACTTATTTGAAATCCTCACTAGTTCTAGTGGTTTGATGACTATTGAAATCATTGTGCGGATTCTAAAATGATGTTAAGGGTTCCCGTACGTGCTCATTCATTGAGATTTTTAAGAATTTAAATTCTCATTTACTTAGTATTGTTTGTTTGGATCTTCCCATTAATGTTTTAGGACTGCAACTGGTCAGTCTGTAATTGGCATACGGGCAAATGTGCGTATTGCGCCGATATAGCCTTAATTCACAAGCATTATGAGCAAAGATGGAATAGTGGCTAATAGTGGAATCCACGACGCGCGTTTCGTCCTATTTGGGACTCGTCAGCTTGATGTACCTGTATCGCAAAGCTGATGTTCACTCTGGGACTCGAACCCAATAACTTTCGCTTCAAATGCCATCGTGTTTTCCACTCGGCCACTGAGTTGTGATAGCCACTAGCTTGTGCAATGAGGTGAAGTTTAAATTCAAACCATCAGTGGCCGAGTGGATAACGCGATGGAGTTTGAAGCGAAAGGTATCGGGTTCGAGTCCCAGAGTGAACATCATCTCTGAGATGCAGGTACATCCAGCTGACGAGTCTAAAGTAGGACGAAACGCGCATCCTGGAATCCACTGCTAGCCACTACCCATCTTTGCTAAATCCTCATTGTTATTTTATTCAGTAATAAAAATGTTAATCTTACTATAATTATCTAACTCATAAATTTCATAACTCTGTTCTTTCTTCCTTCGTTGCCAACGTAAATAAACGATTGATTTAGTTGTTTTTTAACTGACTTTTGAGTAGGATTGTAGTTATTTGTGTCTAACACAATCAAGGTAGGTTGTTTGTATATTATTCTCTTGTCAATGAATGATTTCCATTTGAAATTATAAGATAATACAAACGAATTGAAAGTAACGATATACAATTTGACAAGTGTACAATTCAACCGATTAAGCTTTTAGATATTATTCCAATATATATATATATATATATATATATATATATATATAACCTATCAACAAATGCATAAACATTTATTTATGACGCCATTCGAAACTGTTAGCAGAAAATTCAAAACATCATTTCTTTATCATTCAAATTGATAATAGTTATGAAAAAAAATCAAAAAACTCGGGGAGAATTTGTGTATCATCACTCATCATTATTGAATGCACTACATCAACAATTCATATGTGTGCACGTGTGTGTATGCATACACTCTGTATTCAATATTCTATATGAATTTATAAGAGAATGATTACATACTGATGCCTGTTATCTCTCATTAGGAAGCATAGGTTGCCAACCAGCATTCTCTATCCTACTCTGTCCTGGACAATCCTTTCCACTTGTTTCCAATTGCTATTTATCCTTTTCATGTGTGCTTCTGATTCTTGACGTAGTGTGTTCTTTGATCTTCCACCTTTATGTTTCCCTTCAGGATTTCAAGTTAGGATAGCTGTTTTTTTCACTTCTTACACAGAACCATTACATAACACTCACATTCGTTTTTTAAATTTTATTTTTGGGAAGACTCATTTTTTCTACCATCCTTTGGAACCCTCAATAGTTATGCAATGACTTTTTGTAGCATTGGTATGATTTAGGAGGCACGACGAGGACGTATAAGTCGGGTTTTGCCTCCCAACCAGCCAACAGTCATCGAATATTTTACGTAGACAACTGTTTATAAATACTTGTACTTTTTGATGATGGTTGTGGTAATTCTCCAAGATATTAACTCCATACCATAGAACTATCTTGACATTCGTATTGAAGATCCTAACTTTGATATCCATTGAATTCCATATATTCTTCAAAATTATAGCAATGCTATCCTTGCTTTATCAATCTTACTTTTCCCTGAATTCTGATTGGCTGAAATAAATTATTATAATCTATAATATGATTGGTCAATTTTATCAAAGATTCATTCATTTGATTGGTTAATAAATATATTTTTGTATTCATGTGATCATTATTATCAGATGATTATTAATACATCTTATTATTCATACTACTACTACTACTATTCAAATAAATGGAACCAATAAACAAGTAAAAAAAAGAATTAGTAATGATACGTTATAAGTAGTATGTTACAAAATTTTCCAAAAATTTTTTAGGATCCATTTCTTCTTTATGAAGATGTATTAATCATATATTACTACTATTATTCGATCTAATAATGAATCTTATTTGTTTAACATATAAACAAATCACTTTCTATACAATCTACTTCTTATATTGGATTCTATATTCATTATCTATTTGTAAATGTTTTACATATTTTAATCATTTACCAGAAATTAAAGTTTATGAAAATATAACCATAGGTACAGTGATTCTATTTGATATACGTAAATTAATTGGTATATCTAAATCAACTTATATTAAATTAAGTCCAAGTTCATTAACTCAATTCTTTCGTTTAGATAATATTACTGGTAATTTATATAGTATATCATCAATTGATTTAGAAACAAGTAATTTATGTAATACAGAAAGATCATGTTGTCCTAATCATCAATATGAACAAGTAACTAATCAGTTGGATACTACTACTAGTGATAATAATAATAATCAATATTCTATCAATCAATTAAATTATCATTCAGAAGATTTATCTAATAATTTAAATCAATGTAAATTAACAACTTTTATATTAGCTTCAGCAGATAATGAAATACAAATCTCCCCAATTGCTAAATTACATGTACACATTATTGATTTAAATGATAATCCTCCACAGTTCAATATGTTTTCAGATTATCAAACTAATTATCGTTCGAAATCAATACATTTATCATTTTTAGAAGGTTCATTAGGTGTTCATACAAAACATGATTTACCAAGAGCATTTGATGCAGATTTTTCACTCATAAATCGTGTAAAAAATTATTGGATTGAATGGGATGATATAAATCATGCAGTAACTAACAATATACATCAATCTTCAATGAATACATTATCAAAATCATCATCATCATCATCTATGTCTACAATAACCTATACAAATGATCAAATATGGTCTAAACTTGGACCATTTCGATTAATCTATACAAAATCTATAGAAAATTTAATTATTCAACTTGATCAAGAATTAGATCGTGAAGAACAATCCATTTATAAATTACGTTTAATTGCTCAAGATGGTGGAGATTTACGTGGATCAATTCAATTAATTATTGAAGTAGATGATGTAAATGAATTTCCACCAATCTTTATTGATTCAGATTATGATAATAATCAAATGAAAGATTCACGTTTATTATCATCATATACTACTCAAGAAATTTATAAAAAACAATATAAAGTAAAAGAATCTTTAGATATAGGTAGTCGTATTGGACAATTAAAAGCTATAGATTATGACTTATCAATGTCTAATGAAACAACTGATCAAATTACTTATCATTTTAGTTCAAATCAAATGAATTGGGATGTAACCCATATTTTTCATTTAGATTCACAAACTGGTATTTTAACATTAAAACATTCATTAGATTATGAAAGTGTTAAAAATTATCGTTTAACTATTATAGCACAAGATGGTCCAGTAAGAGAGAAACAGAAAGACCCTTCCAAATCATTTCTTCCAATTACATCAACAATGAAGAAATCATCACAGATTATATATTCATCTACAGCACTCATTGATATTATAGTTCTTGATGTTAATGATAATCCACCAATGATATTCTTTGATAATGATCAGATTATAGAGAATAAACAGAAGATAATTACAAGTTCAAGCAAAGGGCTAGTTATACCTAGTCAATCCTATGAAATATGGATTAAAGAAAATATACCTAAACATACTCCAATTATCTTTTTCAATGTAATTGATCGTGATACCGGTCAAAATAGTCGTATATCATGTCAATTATTAAATTCAACAGACATATTTACTATACATGAATTATCAGATTTATATAGAATTGAAACGCAAAGTTTATTAGATCGTGAATATATTGATCAATATACTATTATTATACAATGTAATGATATGGGTGAACCAATGTTATATAATACAAAATCTTTAATTATTCATTTGCTCGATGTAAACGATTCACCCCCTAGTTTCCCACTAAATATGTATCATTTTCATGTACTTGAAAATAGTTCTCCTGGTACACCAGTTCAACCAATTAATACTACTTATCCAACAACTATTCTAGCTACAGATCCTGATCTAAATAATACTCTGATTTATCGATTAGAACCAATTGAAATAAACATGTTAAAAAATCAATCAAATCATAAAGAGAATTACGTAATACAATCATTAGATTATCAATTATTTTCAATTGATCCTAATAATGGTCAAATATTTACTCAAGGTGATCTAGATCGTGAAAAAAAATCAACATTAGAATTCTGTGTATGTGTTGATGATAGTTTACATTTAACTTGTATAAAAGTTTTAATTGATTTAGATGATATTAATGATAATCCACCACAATTTCAACATGATACTTATATTATACATTTAGATGAAAATAAACAATATTATAAACCAATTATTATATTTATTGTAACTGATTTAGATTTAAATAATAAAGGTTTTAAATTTAATATTTTGTTCGATTCAAATAAACCGCTACAAATTTCAACACAACAAAATGATTCATTAAAACAATTCAATCATTCAAAATTTCAAAAATCAATAAATTTAAATGAGTATAGCAACCAAAATTTGATTACAAAATATTTTACATTAAGAGATAATGGTTTATACTTACAAAATGTATTAGATAGAGAAGAATGTGCAAATTATCATTTCTATATCCAAGTTCAAGATGTACATAATGAATTATCTAATCAATTACAATATAATTTAACAAGTCAAACAGAAATATTCATCCATGTCAATGATATCAATGATAATATACCAACATTTATATTTCCGAATGGTTCAACATCAGCTGGTAATCGATTAATTACATCATGTCATGAAACAATAGGTAGTTCAATTGGTCAAATACAAGGTTATGATCCAGATCTAGGTATAAATGGTACTATTATTTATCATTTAATGATGACAACATCTTATTTAAAACAATCATTATTCCATTTAGATAATAATACCGGTGAATTATTTATTAATAGTAATCAATTAAATGAATATTGTGGTCAAAGTATTACATTATTAATATCAATTGATGATCAAGGTTCACAATTAAGTAAAATTGGAAGACATTCAACAATGGAACATTTAATTATTCAATTAGATGATATACCAATAAAGAATCAACAATTAAGTCAAAAATGGAGAATTAATCATAATAGTCTATTGGAATCAAATGTATTCATTAGTACTAATATGAATAGTAATACAAGTACATTGACAGCTAAAACTATTCTTAGTATTACACTTGGTAGTTCAACGATATTTCTAATTGGATTATTAATGATATCAACGATATTATTGATTTATAGTAAATCAAAACGTCGGAAATCATTTTTAACATTGAAAAAACTACATTTGAAAGATAATACTACTTATAATCAACATAGTAATAATGGTAGTAGTAGTAGTAATCATAACAATAATAATACAATAAATGATGATTTAATCTGTATGGATTGTAAACAAGGGGGATTAAATAAAATATTATTCCCTACTAATGATTATAGTAATAATAATAATTATCAACAATCAAATGAATATATAACAAAAACAAATGAACATTATCCAATTTCTATGTTGAAACCGAAGTCGATCAGTGAAGATGAATTTGCTGTTGCTGCTGCTGGTGGTGATGATGTTAATGATGATGATAATGTTCACCATCATCATCATCATACTGAAGAAGGTATGTATTTGACCTTAAAATGAATTTTAAAGTTTGTAAACTCAATTAACAAACAGTTTTATCGTTTTTAAACAAAGCTACTATTATATCGTGTGTATGGGTGACCTGTTTATTATATGACGTGATGATTCCCGCCAATGAGAGAAGATTAAATTATCGATCAAAGCAATGATACCCGAAACCTGTTTGAGCAGTCTTGAGTATTTATCAGTCATGCTTTCTGCTTAACCCAATCAGTTAAGTCCCGAACACGAATAACAGTCTCTGCAATATGAATCATTATTCTCAAACATACTGGGTTTATATACCAAACAGACAGACTACATCGTACCATAAAATAGAAACTAACAAGATTCAGCTAAATGTGGCTGTGAATAGGGGGAACAGTTGTTGATAGACAGGAGATAATTCAAGAATGATAAATCGTATAATAATAGTCTATAGTTCAAAATAAAGCTTATAATAAGAGGGACACGAATATGAACACTTACGTTACTTAACAATTATGTAATAGGAAATATACATATCATATTGGTCCATAAATAGTCCTCAAAAGTTACCATTCATAATTCTCTTCGGGATATAACAGCTACAAAGACAGTACTTTCAGTATATATTCAATGTTCGTTAAATTTCTTTGCTTCAACTTCAAGTTATTGCAATTTCAATTTTTTATGAATATAATTCATTTGTAAGTAATTAAGTATCCTTGTTATCAATGTGTTAACAACTGTAATCGATCAGTCGTTCTTAGGCATGTGTACATTCTAAATGAATTCCCTTAATATTTCCATTAAGTCATAAACATTTTTAAACAAAATAGGACAGTGGCTATCAGTGAATCTTGGACCTAGTAATTAAATGAGTAACCTGTTATGTGTTTTTGCTGTATAAAGTATTGGTTTAAATCCCTAGTGTAAACACTAAGACAATATGTGTGTCTTGAACATCATTACTAACCGTTACGTAACAATGTTAAAAAATATTGTAAACACATTTTGAAACTTGAAAAATGAATCGTCTATGAATAGTGAATAAGTTTTTCGGGATGTAGATGCCGTTTGTCATTTCACTAAATTATTGATGTTTACACTAAAGCCATAATCAAGTACCTTACACTTCAAAAATCTTACGCGTTATTTACTTAGTGATTGAGTTCAGATAATCCCTACTACTCACTATTCAAATTCCTCAAAACGTTTTGTAACTTAATGACATTATAGTGAAAATCCGCTCAGGATCTACATATACCAAAATTAACTGATCAATTTCAGTCCTTATCATTAAAAATGGGAAGATTTAAAATCTTTCAAATGGATTTTGTTTGTATTAATTTCAACTAACCAAACGTACTAATTTCTATGTATTTCAAGAGTTAAAGCAATGAAATAAAACATGAATTCATTGTATGCTGAAAACACACTCACCTAAGTTTTGTTTAAATTTGTGATAGTAACCGTTTGTATAAAGTTTATATATATATATATATATATATATATATATATATATTTCGTATAGTGGGTTGACGTTAGCTAAACAACCATTGAAAGCTGAAGAGCGTTGAACATCTACCTCTCTCTAATATGAGACTCCTCAATAGTGTGCATCCACAACCACACAAGGGGTTGAACCTAGGACGTTCAGTTTTCTAAGCGAGCTTTTAAAATTCAAACCGCTTAGTTGGAATTCAGTGGTTTACTTGTCTGATTGTAATCAGTTAATGATATCGAAAAGTCATAACTACCTTAAACGTAACATGGTAAAACTTCGCTGGCCAACAGTTCTTACTAGAAACTTCAGGATTTATCTCTTGAAGTTAATCACTATTAATTATATGATTACCATTAGTGTAGGGGGGGGATGGAGGCTGTTTTGAGATTAGTCTATATAGTTAAGGATTTATGACTACAGTTAAGATTACGATTTAGGATTAGTATTGCTTACTTACTTACCTTCTTGCGCCGGTTACCCCTTATTGAGGAACGTAGGCCGCCCACCAACATTCTCAATTCGACACTGTCCTGGACAATTCTTTCCATTTGTTTCCAATTGCTATTTATCCTTTTCATAATTGCTTCTAATTCTCGACACAGTATGTTCTTTGGCCTTCCTTCGTTTGACAGTTAGTCTATATGTGTTTTTAATTCTCACCATAAACTATAAACTCTACATTTTAATCCTAACTTTACATATTAAATGAAATAATATTAAGCTTTACACCCTAATCTTAATTCTAAACTTAATTTCTAATCTGAAACCATAATACTGAATCTTGTTCACAGCATTATTATTATTATTAATTACTTAATAATGCTTAGTGTATTCGGATTGCTCAGCAGCAGTACGTCTCAATATACACAAAGGGAAAAGCAAGACTGTCCAATACAATACAGACATCACCAATCGAATTACACTTGACGGAGAAGCTTTGGAGGATGTGGAAATCTGGGCAATATCATTGATGAACACAGTGGATCGGATGCGGATGTAAAGACGCGGGTCGGCAAAGCAAGAGCAGCATATTTAAAACTGAAAAATATCTGGAACTCAAAACAATTGTCTGTCAACCAACACCAAGATCAGAATTTTCAAGACGAATATGAAGACAGTTCTACTGTATGGGGCGAAAACTTGGAGAACTATGAAGGCCATCATCCAGAAGATATAAATGCTTATTAACAATTGTCTACGCAAAATACTTCGGATCCGTTGACCAGACACTACCAACAACATTCTACTGTGGGAGAGAACGAACCAGATTCCAGTGGAGGAAGAAATCAGGAAGAAACACTGACAGTGGATAGGACACACATCGAGGAAATCACTCAACTGCGTCACAAGACAAGCCCTCACATGGAATCCTGAAGGTCAAAGGAGAAGAGGAAGTCCAAAGAACACATTACGCTGAGAAATGGAGACAGATATGAGAAGAATGAACAACAATTGGATAGAACTAGAAAGAAAAGCCCAGAACAGAGTGGATTGGAGAATGCTGGTCGGCGGCATATACTCCATTGGGGGTAACAGGCATAAGTAAGTAAGTAAGCATTCTGATTGGTTGTCCAGGTTAAATGTATCAAGATTATTTGATGAATTACTTAAGCTCACCTCATATTTCATCTTTACTTAGTATCCATGTTATCTTAGAAAAGTTTTATATTACTTTGTATAGTTTACTTTAATGGTTACTTTCTATCAATTACAAAAAGAAAATAACCTTCAAATTGAATTTTTTTTAAAAAGACGGTCTAAATAATTAATGGGTTATTTCACCAAACGTTTTAGACCTTAATTGACTTATTAAGTATTTCATTGTATATGATACATAGTTTTTTTCTTTTTTGTCTTCCGAATTATTTAACTGATATTTTAGTTGAACCAATTTCCTTCAGGTTGTCTCTATCCTAGCAACATAATTGTCAGAACAAAACAACAACAAAAAAACACATGACTAAGATGGGAAATTCGAAGCATATTGGAAGTCAAGGAATATTCATGAAGTTAATCTTTATATCTTTTAATTTTTACTAAAATGGAATAATAAATAACGATAGAACTTTGAACATGTGTTTATCCTAATTTGAAGGCGTCAGTCGGATGTAACTGCTTATGGCTAAAAAGATAGAGTAATTTAGTTAATAATGCTTTGGCATTTGAAGTGAAAAGTAATAGATTTGAATCTCAATGTGAATATTAGCAGAGATGCATGTACATTCAACAGGTCAATTGCAAATAGAAAGGAAGACATACGATGAATGTCACGATTAATAACTATCCAACTTATGACTAAATGGCAATATAACGGGAGTCCGCTCCAAATAAACATATTCCAATAAAGACTGGTCAATTGCAATTTTTTTGCAACAACAACAACGAAATCATACTATTGGAAAGACTCAGAAAATTCCTCGGAAAAAGCTCGAAGAGATCCTGCAAACTCTGGGAAATATGTTGTACAGTCAGTATTGAATGGAAATTTCTTAGAAACATCTAGAAAGTGAAGAGTCATGTGTCACAATTCCGATTTGATGATTACATATCCTGTTATTATCTTTAGAAGGGTTCCAAAACTTTTTAGTAGCCCAATGCCATAAAAACCCTAAAGTTTCTGTAAATAACCTGATTTTAGAGTAAAGCGTCCTTTCCATATAACGCGCCTTTTCTCTATTATTCAAATTGTCATGTAGAGTTATCCTAGAGATTATCAAAAGAACCTAGGAAACCGATTAAAGAATACTCGATGTAAATAAAACAAATGTAAAGTGTCTTTAAATCAACCAGAACTATAAAAAATATGATAAACAATAGTGTAACACAACAGAGGGGGTTTTGTGGAGAATTTAGTATTTTCACAGTTGAAATCATGAGTCAGTTGAAGCTAGACCACCATCGAAAACCTGGAAGCACTGGACGGCCGTTTCGTACTACTACTACGGGACTCCTCAGCAGTGCGCATCCACGATCCCGCACTCGCGAGATTCGAACACAGGACCTACCAGTTTCGAGCCGGAGCCCTCAACCGATAGACCACTGAGCCCGCATCCAACTGTGTCAATATCTAACTTCAACCAATATATGAAGTTGAGCGACCGTTCACCAATTATCTTCAGTGAACTGATATCTGTACAACAGACTTGGTACAACTCCACTGGTCACTGCTTCTAACTAGAATTCAAGGAAATATTTTTCAAAGTCAGTCCCTAGTGAGCATATTATTATTCAATCAGAATGTTAGTGATATAAATGAATAATTCAGTATAATAAAGCCAAAGATATTAGTAGGGATATATACTTTACGTGTAATTAATAGACTTATTAGCTTTCATAATAGGTTTTCTAGTATTAAAGTCAAAATTTGACTGATATAAACACTCGTCAGTATGATTGCAGATCATTTAAACTGTTGAGAATTCATAAGGTTCTAATATATCTCTTTGATCTTGACCACATCAGTTGTAGGGTCGATAAAGTGACTCTTATCAACTGCAATCCAATAATTA